TCATTTATGCGTCGAGCGGATAACAATTTTCACTATTAAACTAGAAGGACAGTCTAGTTAGGCGACAGAGGTGGTTGTGCGCCTCAGTCTTAAGTAACCAATCACATCACTGTCATTTGTCTCAACGGTGGAGGGAGGAGAGGGGTAAAAAAGCGTGAAAAAAGTGACAAGCGATTTTTTGAACAAACTTTTGCCTGACTTCGAAACGCTAGAAGGAAAGTTATCCCAGTAAATTGAACAAATACCGTAAAACTGTACATTTGCGTAAGGGCTAAACAAAATATTTCTCAGCTTGGGTAGAAAAATGAAAGGAATCCGGAAATTGAGTGGAATTAGTCCACCCAAAGTCGAGATAAAATCGCGTCCTGTAGCAGGACGCCTCAAGTAAGGAGAATGATGCATCATTTAGCCCGGAAGGGGTGTAGGAAGACACAGCCATAAATGCAAATCTCATCCACATAAAAAGTCTTTTCACTCAAAAGCAAGTAAAAAAAACAGTATCTCCAATTCCAGTGCCCAATTGGTTGTCCATTTTTGGTAAAAAAAGAGACTACGAATATTAGTATAGAAAAAACATGGATTGAGGAAGTGTGGAGGATAAGATGAGACAATACCTCACTCCTTACGTCCTCTCCTCCCCTTCCCCTCCTCATTACCCATCTTTATAAAAGTGTAAACAATCCCACGCATGAAGGCGAATGTGCGAGATCGTGTCAATAGAGGAGAAAACTTTCGCCTCCACCAATTGCCAATACATTTTGGAACGAGAAATTTACTACAAGCAGGCACCTGGAGGTGACATGAGACAGCGAGAAGAGGCTCTTCAGCCCAATGAACTTTTGAATGCAACGTCTCATTTAAGTTCAACAGCAAAAATGTACCGAATCTTTCCATCGAACCGTTTACCGACCGAACCAAATTACTTAATCAGAGGGTGTCCAGGCGATGTCTTTGCCAAAAAAAGCACTACAGAGCAAAAAGGTCCAAAAGGTCCACAGAACAACACATCCAACTAAAACATATTGTCGCTCATCTACATTCATTTAAGCGAAACGAGTAAACGGTAAGGGGGTTAAAAGTTAACTATTGTACAAATAAGCCGCGAATTAATGTCTCTAGCAGTAAATAAAATGATGCTGACCTAGGAAAGAAGTTGCAGAGAAATACGAAATTAATTTGAGTGACAAGCAACCTACGACAGCCTATTGAAAAACCAAAAATCACTTGTAAATTAATCAAATAATTTCACAAGCAAAAAAACATACTTTGTTTTTGAGATTGGGGTCGGCTCCACTCTCCAATAGAGTGTAAATGACTTGGGGATGACCTTGTTGAGCCGCCAAATGCAAGGTGCTGGAGCCCATTCCAGTGCGTGCGTTCACATTGCACCCCTTCGAGATGAGGAACTTGATCATGTTCAACTACAGAGAAGATGAGAGGTCACAACCTCATTCCTATTTATACATTATTAAGTAGAAGGAAATTGATGACTTGAATTCTTACTTGAGCAAAGTGACAAGCTGTGTGTAGAGGAGTATAACCGGCTTTTGTGGTTGGATCCAACAGAGCACCTGCAGCATAGAGAACCTCCGCCGCCTTTACGCTGTCTTCTTGGGCAGCTAAATGCATCGGAGTAAGGCCATTCTGAAACGAGTAAGATTATCTCATTTATAACCGAGACGATTTGGCTAACAAATCGTGAAAAATTTAAAGCCAACCTTAGCTCTAGCATTGACTTTTGCCTTGTTATCGAGAAGCAAGCGGACCATTTCAACGCTCCCATCTTGTGCTGCAAGATGGAGGGGAGTAAAGCCATTCCGAGATTCAGCGTTTGGATCAGCTTTTGCCTTCAGGAGCAACTTGGCGACTTCTACC